GCTGGAGAGCGTTTATTGAAGCCCTCTAAGTTCCACGTAGGAGTAAAGGACAAAGTGAATGAAATGAATAAAGTTCATTCTCTCATATATTTTACTTTAACAACAAGAAGAAAAACGATCGTACAGAGGTGGAAAGAGCGATTGCATAAAAGTTACCTCATCGCGCGAACGATGTGGAAACGGTGCATGATTTATTATACGCTCGAGAATATCTGAAGAATGAGCGAAGGTCGAGTGAAGAATTAATGAAGCCGCGAACACGCCCAATTTAAGCCCAGTACATATACGTTTCCAGGTTTCGGAGTGGCCTAGAACAAAGAGTTTTCGATTGCCGAAGCCCGCGCTTCGAAGCTTTGAAGCTGCCGGATAAATTTTAAACAATGTCGTTTTATTGTGGCGTCGGTTTGTTCCATTTAAATGTTTTAGCTTCCTTAATGGAGCAGACTTTACGAAAATGGATTTTTAGTTCGTATAATTCTATAGCCTATACAGTATGTCCCCGGATTGACTATAAATTGACATTTAGAGGAAAATGCATTCTTCATAAAAAAATTGCTTGTTCTAAAATTGATAATTCCATTAATTTTTTTTCCAAATCTCCATACCGTTTTAGCGAAAATTTAGATAACATGAAAATATGAAAAAAAATGTATATACCTTTGTGGCGGATTCATCTCTCCAAAAAGTCCTATATGGGTATTTCGCCACTGCAAGAAAATCTCCAAAATAAAATATGTAGTTATTTTTTGTAAACACTTCTGGCGTTAACCCAAACGGAAACTACTTGTCAGAAATTAGGTTTACAGATATACAAATTTGCCTAACGAACAAAAAAATGCTTAACGTTTCGGATAGTTTATCTCTTTCGGTCGTCGGAAGCAAAAAAAATACAAAGAATAAAGAAAAAAAATATTTAAAATATTTAAATTCAACTATACAGGGTGGGTCAAATTCGACGCTTTCAAATGGAAACACCCTTTTCTATAGGAGATAGACGAAAACTAATATCGGTGTCTGGAGCTCAATTTTCCTCAAAAACATGATGGTGAAAACCGCACATCAATATCTGTTACCGTTTCGGAATTACGGGGTGTTTTTCGAAAATGTGCATTTTTAACAAATAGCTGTAACTTTTTTTTTTGCTATGGAAAATTTTGTATTTCTATGAAAACATTTCCAAAGCACCTTTTACGTTTTACGTAAATTTAATGGCTTAAGTATAATTGTTTTAAATTAATAATTTAAAGAGTTATCAACAGAAAAATTGATTTTATTTGGGACATCCTTTATATTTTTAATTAACTGAAAAGGATTTAAAATTGCCTTTCCAAAAATATAGCACACTTGATATTTTGTTATAATCCCCTTCGAAATACAGAATTTTTAAAAGTTCGCCACTTTTAACTAGTAGGCTTTGGACCCCTTATTGATGATATGCCCATAATGGAACTCGAAAACATATTTTTCCAGCAAGACGACGCACCGCCTCTGAACGCTGAAGTTATCAGCAAATTTTTGCAGCCAATTTCAAGAATAATTTGATAGCTAACCAAGATCCCAGCCGTTGGCCGTCGAGGCCGCCGAACTTAGTCCCCATGGATCTAATCCTATGGATATATTTGCCGAAGAATAAAGGTTCCTTATTCTTCCGTATAATCTAGACAGGAATTAAAAATACTTAGCAGTTATGAGAGGGTATCTTCTTTCGCCTCCACTGAGTTAATGAATTCGCGAGAAATGTCAAAAAACTGCCCCGTCTGTCCATAACAGAAGACGGTCGATATGTCGAACACCTGTAGCAAAATCTCATGTCTTGGTTTGCTATTTGTTTTTATTGTTATTAGACATAGTTTAAATGTGTTGATGTTGGTTAAATATATTTTAAATTGTTATAAAATTCTGCATCTCTCATAGCAAATATTATTTTCGTTTTAATTGATGCTCAGTGCTCACAGCTAGAATTTTTTTGCATTACAGCCGGTGCCGTTCAAAGCCTACTTATTTAAAGCGGGCGAATTTTTATATACTCTATATCTCGAAGAGGAATCGAGCAAAATATCAAGTGTGTTATATTTTTGGAAAGTTAATTTTAAATTATTTTCAATAAATTAAAAATATACATGGTGTCCTATATAAAAAATCAAATTTTCTGTTGATAATTCTTAAATTATTAATTTTAAAAAAATTATACATATACCATTAAATTCTACGTGAAAAGGTGCTCTGGAAATGTTTTCATAAAAATACAAAATTTTCCATAGCAAAAAAGTTACAGCGATTTGTTAAAAATGCATATTTTTGAAAAACACCCCGTAACTCCGAAACGGTAACAGATATCGATATGCGGTTTTCACCATCATGTTTTTGATTATCTAGTTTTTGTCTATCTCTTATAGAAAAGGGTGTTTCCGTTTAAAAGCGTCGAATTTGACCCACCCTGTACACTTTAGTTTTTAAAACAGATCGTCTACAAAAACCGTTGACGTTAAACTTCAAAATTAACTACCTGATAACAATTACTTAATAAGGTAAAACCAAAAAACCCCAAACTTTCTGTATGATTATTTTTAATTTTTACGTATGTTATGTTCATTGGCGTAACTACAGGGGGGACCGGGGGTGCCTTCCCCCCCAGGTACTGCTGGGCACCCCCCAGAGAAATCCTGAATTATGACTCTTGGCTACGTATTAATTTTTATTTGCTTGTGATGTAGTAAAAATGACGTTTTCTAGTTTTGTTTAGATAATATTATTTTATTGTGTTCAAAAAAATTTGTAGGTATTTAAGTAATCTACGGGGGAACGCGGTTTGATAACCAAGTCTTTTAAATATTTCATTATTGATAGAGAAATTAATGTAAAATTTTATTCAAAAAATGTGTTTTTTAAAATTATTTTTCATTTTTAAAAAAACAAAATCTCTAGGCGACCCCTGGGGTCAACGATGTTTTGAAAGATGTTCGTATTTTATATTGTTTTTAGAAAGGTTATTTTAAATATCATATTTAAAGGGACCGAATCCAAAGCGCTTGCTTATGATGAATCGCTACCACAAATTACCTATAACAGATGCGAAAGAAAGCGACTGCATCGGAAACCGCTCGGCAAACCCCACACGCCTATTGAGTGGTGTAAATACACCAGTCGTTTAGTTCGGAAACCTATGCTGTGTCGTATTCGCTTGCTGGAATGACACAGTGCGTGGTTATATGTTTCTTTTTAAAAACGGGTGTAGGATTTTTGTTGAACTTTTGAACTGATATTTCTAAGTTTTGGTAATTTGTATATCTTATTTAAAATGGGATACAAATGTGTTTATTTATAAGGTTTGATTTTCAATCTAATAAATCATTTAATGATGTAAATAAGAGGAAATTTCTCACATGGGTAGTCAAATTCTATAGTTTTCATTATTTTATCAAACAGCCTCAGAGAAATGTTTTCAACTCAAAATGCCTTTAATTATGTTTGACTACATCAATTAAAAAGGGTCTTCAAACACATCAATGTGATATTTGTCTAAAATTTGCAAAAGAATCCGAATCTCTGGATAACTCGAAATTATTTACCCATTTAAAAGCCTTTGATCATGAAAGTGGAACAATTTGTTCATTTTATTTACTGGAAATGGAAAAATTATTTATATTAAATTTTGATGAGTTTTGCACTGAAGAAAACGTTCAGAGGCTGTTTGATATAATGAAAACTATAGAATTTGACCACCCATGTGAGAAATTTCCTCTTATTTACATCATTAAATTATTTATTAGATTGAAAATATTTTATGCATTGAAGTTTACAAAAAATAAAGATTTATATAGTCGAAAAAAGTCCGATAGAACCAATAGAAAAGTAACTATTTTGTAACATCTTTAATTAAATTTTGTTAAATAAATTAATTTTTTATACTATAAATATCTTTTTTTTCCTAATCTCCTACGAACTGATATAATATGACGAGCAATCTATTAAATTACTGTGAGATTATATGCCTCGATAACATATTGGTGCAGATTATTTTCACCCAAACAAATAATAACCCAAACTATACATTGATGCGGATTGTCTATGTACTCTTTCTGAAGGTCACAGAAATCTGAACGCGTAAAGGCTGATTCATGGTACACCGGGCCGTACCCGAGCCGGGCACGTTCCGTAAAGTAGACACGGTAGTAGAAGCTCGGCCCGTGCTCGGCTTAGCATGAATGCATAGGTATAAATACCATTTGACTATGTTTGGCCGTGCCTTCACCGTCGCACGGCCCCGGCCCGTCACGGTGTACCATGAATCAGCCTTATAATTCGGTGTTCTTTCGCATCTGTTGTAGTTAATTTGTGTCGCTACAATAAAAAGCTGTGCCACAGATAAAGTATTATTTCAATTGGGAATACATTTTTTACAAAAGGCAACAATGCATTCGAAAAAAAAAGAAAGTCTGACAACGCCATAGTCATATTAATGATAAAATAAGTGCAACATCTGTATAATACTTAATCTGTGGTTTTGCTCTTACATTCAAAGGCTCTTACCGTATGCGCAGTAAATAAGCCTCTGTGTGCGCAGGAGTAGAGAGACTTACTCTGTAGAGTTTTTTGTCTATTATTGTTGTTTGAGTTTTAGTGATGATAATCCCAAATCAATAAAAAGAAAAAAAATGCGTAGGAAAAATAAAAAAATAAGCCACGAAAAGTGGATACTTCAAAAACTAGTTGTTAAGAATACCTAAATATGTAATCTCGTATGAAATTAACACCATTCATTTAAAATGAAAATTTAACTCATTACTCACATTTAACGATAAATAATTATATACAGGAATGTTTAATCAATGAGAACATAAATAAATTTATTACGAATTTAATAGCATCCTGATCCAATCAATACTAATTTTCAAGTTCAATAAATCGATTGATTAAATTGAAATAATTTATTGTTAGTTATTCTCTCTCATCCGTTTATTTTTTAAAAATACAAAATAATATTTATAAATCTTTTTTAGCTGTGCTCCTCTACAGGATATGCAGATGCTGCAGAAGGATATATGTCAAACTGCTCCATACGGTGTTCCATGCGTTGGCGATACCCTGTGTGGCCATTGGATTTTTGGCCGTGTTGGACTCCCACAACCTGGCTCAGCCACCAATTCCCAATTTCTACTCGTTGCACAGCTGGATAGGATTGGTAACCATGGGATTATTTGCCATACAAGTAAGTCACTTAGAATTATATTTATAGCAATATAATAGAAGCGAATGAACTTTATTATCAAAAATATCAGTCATAATATGTGTCCTAAATATGCAACTTAGTGTAAACCTCCTATATAAATAACAACCATTAATTTAATGTCTATAGAATTTGTTTCATTATTACACTCCTTCGCAATGAGCTCATTAAATGCAATTTTGAGTCATCCCACCTATTGAGATCATTGAGATAATTAAGGAGGTATTACCTGTCTTCAACTATGCCAGTAAACACAATTATTGTAACGTGAGTTCCTTTAAAATCGTTATCTATTAACATTAATAAGAAATTTCCGGTGCATGATAAGTATAAAGGCATTAATCTACTTTCAGATATAATAGTTAATTGTGCATGTAGAGGTACTTTAATAAATGTATTGTAAGATGTGTGTTTAAGATTGAAGAAGATACAGTGTGAGTCAGATGTAAATATATTTGTTTGATGATGAAATATACCGGGTGAACTTAAATAAATTAATTAAGGAAGCTTATCTTATTTGCTACTACCCTATGATAAAAAAAGGCTTCAAAGACGGCTTTAGGTTTGCACTTAAACAAAATTTCCACGTTATATACAGGGTGGTCCGAACTGTATTCCAGAAACTTAGGCAGCATATTCTGCAGATAAAAATAAGTAAAAAAGTTCGTGTAAATGTATGTCCTAAAATGCTTAGTTTCTGAGATACAAGGTTTAGAAGTTTCATTTTTATTTTGATTTTTTCCAAATAATTCCTGAAGTATTACTAATATTTGGATGCAAATTACTGTCTGAGAGTTTTTTGACATGAGAAATTTGATTTTGATGTCAATATGACTTTTACTTGTAGAGGGCGCCACCTACATGATCTTTAACTGGTTTGAAGAGTAACAACTTTTTGTCCGTACCTGTATAAAACTATTTAGTAAAAAAATATACATTTACGCTCTTTTTACGTAAAAATAATTATTAGACTGAAATCATAAATTTGAAATGTTTTTGTGCCAAAGGTGCAACAAAAACTGTTTTATCATCATTTTTTTGAAGAAAAATTTATGATTAATTTAAAAAAATTAAAATTTCTCAAATTTCCCATTTCAGTCAAATAACTATCTACTCAATATGTTTATTTTTTGTCAATAATGACATGTATTGACTATTTCCATTCTACATATCTTGAGAACGGTTGCTCGTAGCGATTTTTACAAGGGACGTTTTTACGTAAAAATCACGGAAATGTAAATTTTTCGCTCAGTAGTTTTATACAGATACGGACGAGAGAAAAGTTATTACTCTTCAAAGCAGTTAAAACATATGTAAGTGGCGCCCCCTGCAAATAAGAGTTATATTGACATCAAAATAAAATTTCTCATGTCAAAAAACTACCGGACACCAATTTTTATCCAAATATTTACGATACTTCAGAAATTATTTGGAAAAAATCGAAATAAATATGAAACTTCTACACCCTGTATCTCCGAAACTAAAGAATTTAGGACATACGTTTATACAAACTTTTTTACTTATTTTTATGTGCAGAATATGCTGCCAAAGTTTCCGGAATACAGTTCGGACCACCCTGTATTATAGGAGCTACAGATGCCGCATGCCGGCGACGTACTATTGCCATTGCCGGACCCTGTAAGAAACTGGTTCCTTTAAGAAACAAGATTAAAAAATAGTTTATTAGTTAATTTAAAATATTTTGTAATATCCATAAAAATATAATATATAGATAAACGTTTTAATGGTTGAATTAAGTAATGGTAACACGTTTTCAGCTGATATTATTAGTATAGAGTGCGGATATGTGACTGGCACTCTTACTCTCTTCCATTGAGTACTGTATCTGAATTTCTCTTCCTGTGTACACGATTGTAGGAGCTTTATTTTTCCTATGTAAACATACTCGTACGTCTTCGGCATTAGAAAGTTCGATATCGTGCGCTGTTTAGGTATTTCTCGTCTAGGAAAAATGGGCGTTCACGATCAGATCACTTCGCACGCGAACAACTGTTGAATCGTGAAATGCTAAACAGGTGAACACTGCGTTCGGATCGCTTGTTAGAGGAGGTACGGAACCGATTCCCTTATTTATGACGTTTCGGATGATCGCGTTTCGATTTCGAATTTCCTAACGCCTTCTAAAAGTAGCCACACACTTTCAGTTTTTCCTCAAGGCAAAGATTGTAGAATGTAGATTGTATGAGACGGGGGTTGGTTAAGTGAATCCCCGCGACTTTATAGATCTATTGTGTCCCCGTTCTTTCTTTGACTAAAGCCAGCAACTGAGACGGTTTTACAGAGGAGAATGGTTGTCGTATCAGCGCACACAGTAAAGAGGCGTTCTTGTGTTTCTCCATTCTCGCCACAGAATCTGCATTCGCCGTTGTTTCTTAGCTTCAATCTACTGAAGTGTTCATTGAGTAGTAGTGGGAATTCCAGTTTTTTGGGAGGAACTAGTTTCTTAATTCTAGTTCCCCTACAGGAATAGTTCCTTGAACTATGTCTTATAGATTCTCTAGGAATAGTTCCCGATTAACATTGACATCCCCGTTGTTTGCTAATGGGTTGTCAGTCAGAACTATTCACAGAATGATCTCTATAATTTTTATAATGTAAGAAATATAACGAGACGTGTAATTGCGTATGTTAAAAACATATAGGTAAGTTTTATTGCAGATAAAAAAAATAAAAAAGAAACTCAAATCAGAGTTTGAAAAACTATATCACAAATCAATTGAAGCAAATATTACGAAAATTTTACGAAAAATTGCATTTTTCCTCTCTTCAAACTTTTTGTTTTTGTCCCAAAATTCAGGATATCTACATCGTTTTTTATAAGATATTTCTTAATTTTAGAGACCTAAAGTGAAACATTCCCATAAAATATTCAAAGAACAAACTGAAAATCAAAAACAATATTCACGAAAATTTTCTGTGTTAATTACGCCTGCAATAGACAAGGCCGAATCCATCGTCGTCGCCTTGTATTATATTTTGGATCTGCCAACTTCAACATTCCAGTGAACTAGTCTTTTAATTAGTTCCTCTAGTTCCTCTCAATCCTTTCGGTCCAGGACAAATAACATACGGCTGGGCACTCTTCACTCCTGCCTAGCATCGGACATCGTCGCTGACCGATCCGTCGCCGTCGCATATTATTATACTGTATATCCTGAATAGGTCCTGAGGAACTAGTTCTTTGAGAATCCGGGAACTAGTTCCTTTCATTCCGGGGTCGGAATAGTTCATTGGAACTAGTTCGTACACTAGAAATACACGCTTCTATCATTGAGAAGACCTGTCTCCTCAATGATAGAGGATCCTGTTAAAGACCCCGTAACAATCCGAAGGTTGTCCTTATTTAAATCAAGGGAAATTTTCGATTTTTCTCGGTCGTAAGTCCTGAAAAATTTCTTCGAGTGTCTTAGACCGTTGGAGGATTCTCATTCCAGGTTATGACTAGAGTCTTCCAGGTTCTTGGGTTCTGCTTTAAGTTCTCAAAGATAAACTGCTCAGTCCAAGGTTTAACGATTTTGTTTAAATGCAGATGACGGACTGACATTATGCGTCAGTTCGTGACAATCAAGCCAGCCTTCAAATAGTCTCTTTTTTTTTCTTTCCAAGTTATTTTTTTAAGACAGTATCTTTTACATTGTTCAGCTTAATATTTTTTATTCCTTCTTCGTACGTTACGACTAAATCCTGTATTTCTTCAATGGTTCCCTAAGAACAGTTGGGATGATGAAGACCAGCTTTCATACCATCTTAGGTGGTCGTCCAGGCGGTCGAGGCGTGTTAGTTCTTTTCTTCTCAGCAATTTTCACTAACCGGTCGTTTGGCATCCTGTCCACATGGTCTCCCCACTTCTTCTCCTGTTTCTTCTTATCTTACCATATCCTGTATTTCACATGTTTCTCTTATATCCTCGCTTATTTTTCGGTCATATAAGGTATATCCTGTAAAGTGTTCGCATCTCTGTTTTTCTTAAGAGACGTTTTGTTATTGTGTTCTCTGCTCTAGTTTCTATCGCATACGTCGTAACCGGTCTCACGCAAGCCTTATAAATTCTAACTTTGCTTATGACGCTCATATATTTATTTCGCCAAATTATATCCCTTAAATATCCTGATAATAATGACGCCTTTGCTGTTTGGGTTTTTACTTCCTCCTTGAGATTCCTAGTTCTTGTTATATTTGCCCCTAGATATTTAAATGACATCACTTGTTCTACACTATGATCATAGATCGCGAGTTTACATCTTCTAGGTTCTCTAGATATTGTTTTTTAGTTTGCCGTTTGTTGGAACTTATATAAAAACTTTTTTATTCCTGTTGCAGCCTTCATTACACTTTGTTTGCGAAAGGAACGACTCACTTTCGTATATTCTTTCTTTAAATCTTTCAAAAATTAACGGTTTAGGATTTTTTTTCTTTTAGAAAAAGATTTTGTACAATGTACAGTTTATTCTGCAGCCTCAAAGCCCAAAGCCTTCTATACACGTTGAGGAATATCTAAAGGTTAGACTATCTGAAGGCACAATCCAATCCTTGAGGAAAAACTGTATGTGTGTGGCTATCTTCAACAATAATTATAACAAGACTCCCTTAGAAGAACTACTACCAAGAAATGGAATTCTAAAAACAATACATCATTTTGAACAAAAATAATACCTACGAAAGCACACAATAAAAACGAAAGCTCACAATAAAAACTTAACTCTTAACCTTCTCTTAGCTTTTAATATGTCTACTCTAAAAAATATAAATATTTGTATTAGCAATAGTGCACTAATGCACTAATTATATGTACAGTAGTGGTTAATAATAATTTTTACCAAAATAAAAGGTCAACAGTTATTAATTTTATTGTATTTACGGTTAAACAAAGAAACGGTGAGTCAGTCATAATTTTTACACAATTTCTTCAAGGGGTTTAAAGTTTTATCTTAATCTATTAATTTTTAATATAATTATTTTCAAATAAACTATCTTCCGCTTCTATTATATACTTATTATATTTTTGGAATAAAAATACAATGCAACAATAATGGAATTGTATATTTATACTCTTCCTGTACATTACGTGCGTTACTTGGGGTGAAATTGTTATGTCATGGCTGTTAAGGAACAAAATGAAATAAGAGATGCTACAAATTCGCGTTTTCTATTTGATAATGAAGTGAAAGCGTTATGTAAGTTACGCGACGAGCTAAAAGAGATAAATTATACAGAACGTTATTAAAGAGGAGGCCATCGAAAATTGTCCAGGTATGGAAATTTTATTAAGGTATAATGTCAGGGATCACATCTTTTATTCTTTATGGGAAAATGGAAATAAAAAATAAAATTTAGTAAAAATATACGGAAAATTATGTCTATATATGGGGGGAATCTTTCGATTAATTATTATATAAATGATTAATTAAATTGAATAACAAATACAGTGTGTGAGATATTTGGAGATATATGCAAAAAGTTTAAGTTTGTAGAAAGTTTTTATTTTGTTAAAAATATCTGCATCTGTTAAGAATCTACTTAAAATTAAATACAGGGCGGCAATTGAAGGGTGAACTAAAGCGTCACTTTTTTACTTACCCCGTTACTAGGTACTCAAAATTTCCTAAATACGAACTTATCTTGTATACCACCTTGTTCAAAAGCTCGTTGTTTTTTTGAAACTTTTTTTGAAGCTGAAAATCAAACCATTAGTTTAAGAAATACTTATAGTATGTCCAAAAGGAGGATACAGGACAGTGGCAGTACTGTCTTTTGTTGTTAGGTTATTTTTTTTGTAGTTTGTGTCCTGCAAACCATAATTTTTACTTCAAAACTTGCTTTTGTTCTCTCGTAACGTATTATCGTTATTTTAAATATCTTACTTCAGTCTACCAAAAACATTTTTGTAATATTAAAAACAATTTTAAAAATTATTGTGATTTTTTTTTTCATTTTTGTGTATACACGCAACTTTTCAAATTCAAAAATTAATTTTGCTTTTATTTATAACTTTTGTCTTATTTTATCGAGAAATGTTCTAATATTGCCAAGATAATCTGACAAAATATCTATCAAAGTTACGGTGAAATTACAGCGTTTTATACAGGGTGAGTCTTAAATAAGTGGAAATATCTTTAGGGGTGGTATATTTCGACATCAGGAACAGGTCTCTGAGGTTTCTTCGCAAAAAGATGTTGAAAATCGTTTATATTCCTTTTTATTTTCCTGTATATTTTAGAAAACTTTTTAGAAATGCCTGTTTACCGCAAATTTTCCTACGATATAATTTCTTAATCTCTGATATTACCATGGATACGGAAACACAGAAACCATGGATACGGAAACACTAAAAGGGAAATACAGAAAAAATCCGGTAGCTCTCAAATTTTTTCGGTGACTGTTGTGTGGAAATCATTTCTGCATCGGCTAGAAGGAAATAAAGAAATAAAACAATTTTTTTGCATATCAAAATTAGCATTTTGATGAATGGAAGACGTGTATCAAATAATTACCTAACCTAACCTAACCAACACCCTGTATATCAATTTAAAAGGAAATCAACTTTGAATAACTCTGTTATTTTGGACTTATTTGAACAACGGTAAAGATAAAATATGTTTCTTTTAGTTGGTTATAAAAACTACTTTTACTTTTACTGTTTGATTTTAAATTAGTTTCGATCGGTTAGGTTAGGTTAGTGTTTTTTAATCAAACAAAAATGTTTCTGGTAGGCCCTAAATTAACTCATTACAATTTCCATCTATTCATGAAATACAGATAGAACTAAAAGTTGTAAAAGAATGAAAATAATATTACAGTTGAGGTGAAAGATACGTCTAAATATTTTTCGATACCGTTTGATAGAGAGTTATCCCGTGGTCTAAAAGGAATTTTTAAGAATGTCAATTATAAACTTGTGTATAGTGCTAATAATAAATTATAACAATTATTAGGTAATCCAAAAGATAAAACACCTCTACTGGAAAGGTCGGGTATTTATGAAATTTCTTGTAAAGATTGTAATCAGAAATATGTTGGGCAAACTAGAAGATCAATATTAACTAGATTTAAAGAACATTTAGCTCAGATAAGATATGGTAGACCGGATAAATCTTGCGTTGCCGAACATATTGTTGATAAAGAACATTGTATAGATCTTAATAATTTAAAATTAATTAAACAAGTCTCAAATTACAAGCAATTAGATGCATATGAAAGCATCAGAATTAATAAATGTAAAGATAGTATGAACAGAGTCAACGGTCCAATTCCTTCAAGTTCTTTGTTCCTACTACTCTAGTGGCGGAAATTTAACTGTTACGCTCAGTTGGCTCTGACTCGGTTTGGCTAGATTTTGCCACGCCCACTCGGTGCCCACTGAGCGAGTATATAAACGCTCAACTTGTAGATTGTACTTTAGTTTATAATCATCTGCTGATGATGCTAACATGGTTAGCGAAACACGCGTCCAGTGTAAAAGTAAAAGTGTTTTGGTGTATTGTGGTGATTTAGTGTTTTTATTTTGCTGAAAATAATATATTAAGCTTTTAATAAAAAAAAAATGAGAAAAAGTCTAAAATTACAGTAATAATAGTTTATATATTTTAATTAATTTATCAACGTTTCTTTTTCAGTTTGTCGTCGGCTTCTTCAGTTTCCTGATCCTGCTCTGCTGCGAGGGGGCCACGGCGGGCTTTAGGTCAGCCCTGGTGCCCATTCACGCCTCTTTCGGCCTGACCACGTTCATGCTGGCCATCGCCGCTTCTGTGTCCGGCCTCACCGAAAAAGCACTCTTCTCCTTACCGTACGTATTCGAATTAAACGCATTCCATCGGACGTAATGATGGTGTACAGGGTGGCGCACTGTTAACACCGAAAAGCTGGTAAAAATACCGGGTTTCTGGTTTGAGATTTTAGCTACTTTAAATTTCTTTTCAAAACGTGCAGGATATTTTAGTGAATATTTTAAAAATAATTTTGTTAATTCAAAGTAGGTAATTCAAAGTTACCAAAAGGAAGGAAGCACACAGAAAGAGCAAAATTGTTTTTTTAAACGCCACAAAAGTATTAATTTTTGTGACGTGGCTGATAATATAAAAAAAAGTCTCATTTTAACGCATAGGTATAAAAGTAAAGCACTTTTACGCCTAAGCATAAAAGTACCAAAACATTTTATTAAACTGACATGAAGTGTCAAATTCACGGCGTCAGCGATGGTTATGAAATGAAGATCGCAGCCATTTTATATGTAAAATCATTTGTAATAGTGATGATAAAGCAAAGCAAGAATTTCTATTAACATACAAACTGGATAAAATTTTCTCACATTTATGTCATGAGCATGAGAAAAAACAATATGGCGATATTATTATATAACTTGGTAATATTTGAGTGGTAGGTTCATCTCGTTGGAATTTAACTTTCGAAAAATCCGTTTGACAAAAATAAGCTTTTTACGTCAAATAGTTTAAGCAGAATCGTGGTTAATCAATTACCCAACTTTTTGGAACACCCTGTATGATTTTTTAAAAAAAATCAAAATATGTAATAAAACAAAATAAATTATGCGTGTCCAAGCGTTTTCCTGAAAGACTAACTAAATATTGTAATATTTGAGGGGCGTTTTCACGCTCTTCGAATTTAAGATTCGAGAAGCCCCTCCTTGTCGAACCTCTATACCCCACAGTCAATCCGTTTGCCAAAAGTCAGCTTTAAACGTCAAGCAGTTTAAGCAGAATCGTGATTACTCAATGGTCATATTTTATGAAACACCCTGCATAAATTTTTAAAAAATCGTAAAAATTGTAAAACAACAAAATAAAATATACGTATTTAAGAGTTTTTCCGAAAAACTCACCGGTTTTTTAATAAAAAATATTCTAATATTTCAGGGGTGGTTTCACCCCCTTAAAATTCGAGTTTCGAAAAATACCTTCTGATCGAACCTCTACACCCTAAAGTCAATCCGTTTTCCAAAAATCAGCTTTTTACGTCAAGCGCTTTAAGCAGGATCGTGATTAATCAATGACCAGATTTTTCGAAATGCCCTGTATACATTTTTAAAAACCCTTAAAGTATGTAAAAAACAAAATAAAATATACGTGTTTAAGCGTTTTTTTCGGAAACTTGGCCGTTTTTTAAATAAAAATTATTGTAATATTTGAGGGGTGGTTTCACCCCCTTGGAACTGGAATTTCGAAAAATCCCTTCTTATCGAACCTCTACACCCTAGAATCAACCTGTATGCCAAAATTGAGCTTCTTACGTTGAGTGGTTTGAGCAGGATCGTGATTAATCAGTGAGTCAGTATATATTAGTATAGATTATATGGGAAATGTCATCGATTGTCATTTCCAAGCCAACTGGACGCCGTTTTTTTCGATCATACAGTATTAGTGTAACTAGTTTTGAAGAGAGTACCGTATTATAAAATTACTGCCTGTTAAAAAGCATCAATAATTTGCGATTTATTTGAAGAAAGATAAAAATATAGCTTCCTATTTTAATTTTATAACAATAATTTGAAAATAAGTTTATTGGACATTAATATTTAAAAAAGAAAATATTTAGAAAATGTGTACCACAAATTCTTACATTACATTCTGAAAAAATAAATGGTGTAAAAATCTCAAAATGGAACCCTGATATATATTTTTTTCGGTACAGTGGATCACCCTGTAAAGGTCGGTTTTGCAAGATATAAAAGCAATTTTCGGACTATCGAGTTTAACCGTTTGTAATAAAGTACCTAAGACTAGAACGTTTTTTCTTTATTTATATCTTGCAAAAATATACCAAAAAAATGATTTATTGTGCCTATGATGCATGGTTGATATCTCGCATTGAAGTGCATCTTGTAGGAAAACGATATGATAGATGATATATAATTTTTTTCAGAGCGCATGCTTACATATTTTTAATTATGTTAATTATGCTGATTCATTATCATTTTTTAAAAAGAATTCGACGGAATATACATATATAATATAAAATGCTAATGTTTATCTGTGTCGTCTCTACTGAAGTAACGACTTGCTCTAGAAAGTTGATTTTTTACTAAAAGATATTTAATTGGCTCTTCTAAAAACTGTCGTCGCCGGATATTTAGTTTTATGTACTTAAACAGCCGTTAAACGGTAGCCTACTAAAATGCCGTTAATAGATATTGTGACGTCCTTTATGTCGGCGGAAAGTAATGCCTAGCCTTAAGCATTCTGCAAGAGCACCTGTGGGTCAGTGGCTGAGGCTATCGCTTCTTAAGCGAATGGTCCGTGGTTCAAATCTCACGCCGACCAAGACTTTTTTATATTTTTTTTGCTTATAGCGCGATCTTATTGCATTGGTTTCACTTTTTTTAGTTGGATTCGTTTAGTTATTTGGCGGGTTGGTTAGCGTGGTTATTTGGAGGGTGTTAATTCATTGGTTAGTTGGTTATTTGGTGGGGATGGTTGATTTTTACTAATTTATATTTGTTTTTTATATTTTTTATCAGTGTCGAGGTTAGTTGCTTTGGTTAAGTTGGTTATTTGGTGGGGTATCCACCCCACTAGCGTTGGTTAGTCCATATAAAATTTCTATATTTCATAAAGCCGTCAAGTGCGTCACATCAACAACGTCATACCTGTTAACGGCATTTTAGTAAGCTACCGTTTAACGGCAGTTTAATTCCAGCCTATTTTGTTTTTCATTTAATTAAAAAAAATAAGTTTTTTTCCTGATGTCGTGGCGGATGCGCCAGGCTTCAACTAGTGTATAATATTTATAATCAAATTGAATGAATATTACGACACACCTTGGTAAATGTTCATACTACAATCACAGATAACATATTAATCAAAAAAGATTATATGTTCTCTGTGTTACATTGTAAAAAGTATATACAATATCCAAACAAATCGGAAATGTTCTAAAATCTACTGTTTTTTGTATTGTAGTTTTAACATTTGTCAAGGATTTCAACTAAATCAGTTGTTTCAGAAGATTTTCACTTCTTTAGACACAACTAAATTCGAACTAAAACACTATTTCTGCGCCTACTACGGCATTATTTTTTTTTATAGGATCATATATTGTATATTTTGTCCGTATATTTCCTCAAATAATACTACTTACATTTAAATTAATATTTTGCCAAGTATACTACTTTAATAGAATGAGAATTGCGGAAGATGGCAGATTTTACCTAATTTATTTAAATATTAATTTTCTCCATATATTTTCCGTAAGTTTTTTTCGCTATTTTAATAGATATTAAACTGGCAGAAAATATAATTTACTTTTGAACTAAAGTGTCAAACAACAGCTGTTACTGACATACATTCTTTCGTAAGACAGACTATGGCCATAAAATATTACTCGTTATGAAAAACTAATCAGATTTTACTATAATAAAAAAGTTACATCTTTGTCATATGGTTTGTAAATTTCTGTGATCACAATGAAAAAGTACTAAATGTTAGTGACAATCTCATAATAATATATATAGTAATTTCCTACTCGTGTCAAAGCTTTGAAGACAATAGTGGGATAGTAAAGTTATAATATTTAGTACATTAAAAAGGCAATCAACTAATGTTAACGGCTTGATAAAAATAAACCCAGGGTTTCAAACACCCTTTTATTAAATATACCTAATAAAGAAAGTAATCTGTTTATTGTAAAAGAAATTAATAAGTTTTTGTGCTGTGGCTTTCGTATTGTTATAAAGTAGACTTTCTCTTGAACAGATTTCTGACGACTTGTGAATTCGAAGAAAAGACTTTTCGTCTACAATAATATTTGTTAGATATTTCCTCGGTGATTTCTAATAAACAAATAAAACAATAATAAAATATCTGAAGAAATTTATTTGTTTTTATATCTCTTTAATTAAAAAGTATTAGTTTCTCACCGATAATAATAAGTAATTAGCTTGTACAGGGTGTCACATTTGTTTTATGGGTTTTTTTTAGAATTTAGAATTTAGAATGAGTGGGAGGGGGGCTAATCACTTCGACCTTACAGATCCATTGTGTCCCCCTTTCTTGAATCATAACTCATTATTCAGTCCCAGGGCTTTGACAAAGTCAGTATCTGGACGGTTTTATAGAGGGTAGTTCTCCATCCAATATCAGTCGTACCAGCGCACGATGGCCGTCTCGGCGCACTCAGTGATGAGGTACTGGTGTTTCACCATCTTCCCCACAGAATCTGCATTCGCCGTTTCTTCTTAGTTTCACTACTGAGGTGTTCATTGAGGAGACAGTGCCCTGTTAAAACCCCGTGACAATCTGAAGATTGTTCCATCAGACCCAGGGTCTGTGATTTTTCTTTGATCATGTTTCCTCAGAAACTTCTAGGTGTCCTGACCATTGCAAGATTTCCATTCCAGGTTGCGGATGGAATTTTCCAAGTTCTTGAGTTCTGCCTGAGTTGGTTTCCACTTTTGAAGCAGAACGGTTCTGGGTCCAGTTAGTGGAGTGTTCACCTTTCCTAGCTAGATTGTTTGCTTTTTCATTGCCTTTCATCCTTTGGTGAGCAGGTACCCAGTGTAGGAGGATCTTTATTGGCTAATTTATTCAGCTTTCATGCATTCTTTTGACCAATTTCAATTGATTGATACTGAGCTGATCGCCTTTAATGCTGCTTGACTATCAGATAAGATGGCTATTTCTTGTTTCCGATAGTTCCTATCTAAGATAAGTTGTACGCATCTCTCGATAGCGTAGATTTCTGCCTGTAGGATACTAGGTAAGTGCCCATTGGTTCGGAGTAATTAGCCTCGGCCCAAACACTCCGATCCCAGTTCCCGTATTGGTTTTGAAG